CTGAAAGGCTGCTTTCCACCAGCTTGTTCCAGGATGAAGACAAACTACAATGAAGGGTGCAAACATGCATTCTGGCTTGTAATCACACTGTTTGTCCTGCTGATGAGTCAATATGCAACATTAATTTGATCGATGGGAATGATTCCTGTGTCCGTTTCTTGCCTCCTACTGGGAAATATAATCTTTCAAAATGGATGGCATGCAGTCCTGGCCATCTTTGTTTTAAGCCGCTAACCCTGGCTTGTTTGCTTATGACGAGCATGGATGACAAGAAGCCAACAAACACTGTATACCCGATTTGCTGACGAGACTCATTGAAGAGGACCCACAAGGCAAACTTCACCAGCTTGCGAACATCCTCTTCTTTTAGACTTGACTCATTTTGATCCATGTCTCCTCTTGGTGTGGATTGCCCCCTGCTTTGTGGGGAAGTGACATCTTCCACCTTGCGTGTCTGCTTCAAAGCTGCTAAAGCACTAGTTGCCGTACTTGCCCATCCCAGGTGGCGAAGAGTTGGCATGGCTTTTGGAAAGGTGAAGTCCTTGGGACTCTGATCCTGTGATGCATCGGCTTTGAATGTCGTCTCCTCGGAAAGGAAGGACAAAACACACAATACGAGAATCACTCACATTGACACTTGGGTTGGGGAGGTCCGAGACAGAAAGAAACAAGAAGAAAATGTTTTATGCAAACCCTAGTCTACCCATGACAGAGTGTCGCGCTTCAGTCTCACCACAGTCAGCCGCGATCGCATGGCGGCGGACAAATCGCTGCTGAGCGGTGTTCGCACCGTCGCCAAGATCTGAAATTGGCTGTGGGCCGCGAGCCTTTCTGAGTTGGCCGTGGTGACCTGCGGCATGCAGCGCATGCGAGTGACAAATCGCTGCTGAGCACAACAGTTAGACAAATTTGGCCGGTGCTCACTTTGTGAAACGGGTCAGAAAACGGAGTTGTGAAACGGAACCCTCGGGGGAACGAACGTACGTGCGTACAATCCTGTTGGAAGAAAATGAAACAAGATGGAGCCCACGAACCCGAATGCAAACACGATCGAAAAACTAATATGTCCAAAGGACACTTTTGTAGGACACTCTTGCGGGACACTCTGTAGGACACTCTTGTAGCACACTCTTGTGGGTCACTCTTGTAGGAAACTCTTGTGGGACACTCTTGTAGGACACTCTTGTGGGACACTCTTGTGAGACACTCTTGTAGGACACTCTTGTGGGACACTCTTGTGAGACACTCTTGTAGAACACTCTTGTGGGTCACTTGCAGGACACTCTTGTGGGACACTCTTACACGACACTCTTGTAGGACACTCTTGTGGGACACTCTTGTAGGACACTCTTGTAGGACACTCTTGTCGGAAACTCTTGTGGGACACTCTTGTGGGACACTCTTGTGGGACACTCTTAAGGGACAATCTTGAGGGACACTCTTGTGAGACACTCTTGAGCGACACTGTTGCGGGACACTCTTGTGGGACACTCTTGTGGCACACTCTTGTGGGACACTCTTGTAGAACACTCTTGTGGGACAGTCTTGTAGGACACTCTTGTGGGACACTCTTGTGGGACACTCTTGTGGGACACTCTTGTGGGACACTCTTGTAGGACACTCTTGTAGGACACTCTTGTGGGACACTCTTGTGGGACACTCTTGTGTGACACTCTTGTAGGAAACTCTTGTGGGACACTTTTGTGGGACACTCTTGTGGGACACTCTTATAGGACACTCTTGTAGGACACTCTTGTGGGTCACTCTTGTAGGAGACTCTTGTGGGACACTCTTGTGGGACACTCTGTGGGACACTCTTGTGGGACACTCTTGTAGGATACTCTTGTGGGACAGTCTTGTAGGACACTCTTGTGGGACACTCTTGTGGGACACTCTTGTAGGACACTCTTGTGGGATACTCCTGTAGGACACTCTGAAGGGACACTCTTGTGAGACACTCTAGTGGGACACTGTTGCGGGACACTCTTGTGGGACTCTCTTCCAGCTCCCCAGATACTCCGCGTACTAAAGTTGTACTACACGGTCGCCAGTTCTCAGCTTCCAGCTCCACAGATTGCTCCGCGTACTCAAGTTGTACTACAAAGTCGCCAGTTCTCAGCTTCCAGCTCCACAGATTGCTCCGCGTACTAAAGTTGCACTACCAAGTCACCAGTTCTCATCTTCCAGCTCCCCAGATACCCCGCGTACTAAAGTTGTACTACAAAGTCGCCGGCGCTCGCCTGCATTTCGCGCGCTCGACACGCACGATCTCCGCAGAGGGTTGCGCGGGCACCGGACAAATCGCACTCTCGCCTGCATTTCGCACACTCGACACGCACGATCTCCGCAAAGGGTTGCGCGCGCATGGGACAAATCGCACTCTCGCCTGCATTTCGCACACTCGACACGCACGATCTCCGCAGAGGGTTGCGCGTCAAGTCTCCAAAACGAGCGTTTCGTACGAGACTTCCTCAAAAACTCACACGTCAAAGTCTGCAAAACGAGCGTTTCGTACCAGACTTCCTCCAAAAGTCAAGCGGAAACACCCATCGGAGCACACACATCACGCAGCCCTGCCAAGCAGTTTCGCGATTCCAGCCCCTCCAAACAACATCCGCTCACACGCCAATCCCAATGGGACAGCGACATTCACCTCTACCACAACTCACAACCTCACAATTCCCTGCGCCTGCCACGAATCTTTCCCCATCCACACGTCTAACGCGCACAAAGTACTGCGCCTGCCACGAAATGTCACCTCCCTCACACCTCGCAACCTCACGATTCCCTGCGCCTGCCACGAGAATCGCACTTCCACGCTTCAAAGCCCGCACGAAGTCCTGCGCCTGCCACGAAAAGTGACAATATCATCGCATGTGAGCTTCAACAAAATTTGCACCACACCACACGTTTGGAATGATTTCGACCCGTTCAGAGCACACTCCCATCCACCAAAATCGCCATTTCAGCTGAGACTTGTCACGAAAACAGAGCTTCGATGCCACACCCTGAAACGCAAATCCCAATGGCACGGCCACATCCAACACCCCAAAAACACGACTCTCCAAACGCTAATCCCAATGGCACTGCGCAGCAAACTGCGGATCTCACAAAACGCTGCGCCTGTGCAGCGAAATGCATCACGTTTCTTGCGCGACATGTCGTTGTCATGCCAATCACAATGGAATTGCGGCGCAAACTGACACGTGACACATGCATGAAAAGTCACTTGCAAAAGCTTCCCCCAATGGCAGCAAATTTGAGACGCGACGACGACGACACGACGACGACAAACGACGACAAACGACGACACGACGCAAGCCATGCAAACACAGCTCCAACCCCCAGACCCCCAACTATAAACGGGAACCCTTCGCTACGCATTCGGGAAAAAATCACAGTCACTAC